TCAAGGAGCTGGACCCAGTAAAGAGAAACGGCCTGGCCATCGACAAGAAACTATGCTTCAGGTGCCTGGGCACGCACAAAAAAGACAGGTGCAGCTCAGACGAACAATGCCACAAGTGCAAAGGATCTCACCACACTCTGATCCACGAAGACAGCAGGCACACAGGATGGGCTCCTCCACGTCGTGACTCGGAAGCTGCAGGGTTCTCTGGAACTACCAACAGACCTGCAGAAGAGAGGATCCACGAGGACCAGAGTAAGTGAATGTTCCTTTAATATAATCAGTACATTCACTTTCTCATTGGTCATTCTCAACAGCTAAGCCCAGTACATCAACAGCAGCAGTTAACCTCAACAATCAGATGACCAATGGGAACCAGCAGTCAAATCAACCTTCAGAAGATCAACAATCGGTGCTGTTGGCGACAGCCCGAGTTACAGTGAAATCACCGCGAGGATTCTCGAGCAGAGCCAGAGTCCTCATCGATCAGGGATCAGAGGTGTCATTCATCTCAGAAAAACTAGTAAATCAACTGCACTTGTCCAGGAAATCAGCAACGTTGGAATTGATCAGAATTGGAGGAGTTAATTCCGGCAGCACGAAAGAATTGGTATCAGTTACACTTCAGGCACNGATCAACAATCGGTGCTGTTGGCGACAGCCCGAGTTACAGTGAAATCACCGCGAGGATTCTCGAGCAGAGCCAGAGTCCTCATCGATCAGGGATCAGAGGTGTCATTCATCTCAGAAAAACTAGTAAATCAACTGCACTTGTCCAGGAAATCAGCAACGTTGGAATTGATCAGAATTGGAGGAGTTAATTCCGGCAGCACGAAAGAATTGGTATCAGTTACACTTCAGGTACTCAACGGAAATCAACAGGTTCAGATCAGCGCCCACATATTGAAGAAACTCACCGCAATTCTACCATCGTTCTCATGTGCCTCAACGAACGGTTCATTAGAAAATCTCCAGCTAGCAGATCAGCAGTATCTCAAGCCCGGACCAATCAATATCATCATAGGGGCTGACAACTACGGGCGAATCATCAGAGATGAAGTTGTCAAGTCCAAGCAGTCAAAAGTCGTCGACGNGTCTGTGCTAAGACCAAGGTAGTACCGATCAAGCGCATGACTATTCCACGTCTGGAACTTACTGCAGCTCTCCTGTTAACTTAATNGGGTCATATGCAAAGAGCACCAGAGACAGCAGAACCCGTTCCAGTTTATTATCTTCCACACCACGGGGTTCTGAGAGCAGATGCAATCACCACAAGGTTGAGAGTCATCTTCAACGGCTCCAGCCCCACTTCATCAGAAACGTCACTCAACGACATTCTACATCCAGGTGGAAAACTTCAGATCAACGCCATGGACGTTCTAACATGGATGAGAAAGCACAGGGTCGTGTTTGGCACTGACATAGTCACGATGTTCAGGCAAATACGAGTTCATCACGACGATTGGGACCTGCAGAGAATTTTGTGGGTTGACGATAACAAACAGCAAATCTCCTACCAGCTCACCACCGTCACCTACGGGCTCAATTGCTCCCTATGGCTGTCTCTGAGAGTTCTCCAGCAGTTAGCAGAGGACGAGGGTCCACGATTTCCAGCAGCCGTCGAGACAATCATCAGAGGTCATTACGTAGACGACATCTGCGGCGGAGCAGACTCACCAGCAGAACTCAAAGAGATAGCATGGCAGTTACAAGGACTTTGCCAGGCAGAAGGCTTCCCTCTCCAGAAATGGAGCAGTAATTGCCCTCAGCTCTTGCATGAGCTCGGCCTATCAACAGAGGAAGAAGTCATTCAGTTTGAAGAGTCCGTCACCAAGGTACTGGGTCTGTGTTAGCATCAGTCGTCCGACACATTCCAGTACAAATCCAGAGACTTCAAAACAGAGACGATCACCAAGAGAATTATCTCTTCAGAGATAGCCCAGATCTTCGATCCTTTGGGATTTATCGCTCCAGTCGTCGTCCAGGGGAAAATTCTCCTTCAGGATCTCTGAAAACTCAAATGCAGTTGGGATGACCCCCTCCCCCAAGAGTACATTCACCGGTGGGAGTCATTTCGCCAGGAACTCACCGAACTAGATAAAGTTGCAGTACCCAGATGGCTCAGACTCTCACCTCAGACAAACGACATCCAATTGCACGGATTCGCAGATGCCTCAACAGTAGCTATGAGTGCTGTGGTCTACATTCGCACTCAGAATCTCAACGAGCCAGCCTCCACAGTTTTGGTCTGCGCTAAGACCAAGGTAGCACCGATCAAGCGCATGACTATTCCACGTCTGGAACTTACTGCAGCTCTCCTGTTAACTTAATTCGTAACATCAATGCAGCAGATGCTCCAGCTAGACCAGGTAGAAACTCACCTTTGGTCAGACTCAGCAGTAGCTCTCGCATGGATCAGGAGTCCGGCCTCGAGATGGAAAGACTTCGTCCACAACAGAGCGGTAAAAATCCAGGAAACTCTTCCGAATGCCACTTAGAGACACGTCAGTGGGAAGGAGAATCCAGCCANTACGAGTTCATCAGGACGATTGGGACCTGCAGAGAATTTTGTGGGTTGACAACGAACAGCAAATCTCCTAACAGCTCACCACCGTCACCTACAGGCTCAATTGCTTCCCATGGCTGTCTCTGAGAGTTCTCCGGCAGTTAGCAGAGAACGAGGGTCCACGATTTCCAGCAGCCGTCGAGACAATCACCAGAGGTCGTTACGTAGACGACATCTACGGCGGAGCAGACTCACCAGCAGAACTCAAGGAGATAGTATGGCAGTTACAAGGACTTTGCCAGGCAGGAGGCTTCCCTCTCCAGAAATGGAGCAGTAATTGCCCTCAGCTCTTGCATGAGCTCGGCCTATCAACAGAGGAAGAAGTCATTCAGTTTGAAGAGTCCGTCACCAAGGTACTGGGTCTGTGTTGGCATCAGTCGTCCGACACATTCCAGTACAAATCCAGAGACTTCAAAACAGAGACGATCACCAAGAGAATTGTCTCTTCAGAGATAGCCCAGATCTTCGATCCTTTGGGATTTATCGCTCCAGTCGTCGTCCAGGGGAAAATTCTCCTTCAGGATCTCTGGAAACTCAAATGCAGTTGGGATGACCCCCTCCCCCAAGAGTACATTCACCGGTGGGAGTCATTTCGCCAGGAACTCACCGAACTAGATAAAGTTGCAGTACCCAGATGGCTCAGACTCTCACCTCAGACAAACGACATCCAATTACACGGATTCGCAGATGCCTCAACAGTAGCTATGAGTGCTGTGGTCTACATTCGCACTCAGAATCTCAACGAGCCAGCCTCCACAGTTTTGGTCTGCGCTAAGACCAAGGTAGCACCGATCAAGCGCATGACTATTCCACGTCTGGAACTTACTGCAGCTCTCCTGTTAACTCAACTCGTAACATCAACGCAGCAGATGCTCCAGCTAGACCAGGTAGAAACTCACCTTTGGTCAGACTCAGCAGTAGCTCTCGCGTGGATCAGGAGTCCGGCCTTGAGATGGAAAGATTTCGTCCACAACAGAGTGGTAAAAATCCAGGAAACTCTCCCGAATCCCACTTGGAGACACGTCAGTGGGAAGGAGAATCCAGCCGACTGCGCCTCCAAGGGCATAACACCAAGTCAGCTAGCAGATCATCACCTTTGGTGGACAGGACCTGATTGGATAAATCAGGACCCTGAAGACTGGCCACGATCAACTATTGATGCTTCACCAATGGACATCCCAGAAGTGGCCAAAAAAGCGAAACCAGCAGAATCTCACCCAGTCGTACAGAGAATCAACGAGATTGCCGAGCTCCTCAACAGATACAGCACGATGGCAAAGCTGTTAGCAGTAACAGCGACCATCAACAGGGCCATCGATAGATTCAGGAGGCAGCCAATGCCCCCGGGATCTATCTTGACGACCAGGGAACTCAACGATGCGAGATTATTTTGGGTAAAAATAACACAACACCAGTACTTTGTTTCAGAACTCAGGGTACTTCTCAGAAATCAGCAGCTACCCAGAAATCACCAGTTAGCGAAATTCACCCCAACTCTGGACGAGGAGGACATCATGAGACTTGGGGGACGCCTCAAGAACTCAGAACTCCATCCAGAACAGATCCACCCAATAGTCTTGCCACGTCAGTCCAGATTCACCACACTCGCCATCGCAGTAGCTCACCAGAAGACCCTCCACTGAGGGACACAGCTCACCTTGGCCTACACTCGGCAACGCTATTGGATACTCGGTGGCAGGGGCACAGTTAGAGCCTACATCCTACGCTGTGCTATCTGCGCCAGACACCGAGCTAGACAGGCTCAGCAACAGATGGGTCAATTGCCCGCAACCAGAGTCTCACCAGCAAGAGCATTTCTCCACACGGGGGTGGACTATGCAGGTCCTTTCGCCATCCTCAAGTGGAGACCCACGAATGCTCAACCGGGATCAGTGCACATCGCAGTGTTCGTGTGCTTCACCACGTCAGCAGTTCACCTAGAGCTCGTCAACAGGCAAACCACAGAAGCCTTCCTCGGAGCTTACAAGAGATTCACCGGAAGACGAGGTATTCCAGCAGTCATGTACAGTGACAACGCCACCACCTTCGTCGGAGCAGCAGATCAACTCGAAAGGCTCTATCACCAAGCATCTAAAGAAAATCAACGTGTTCAGGCTGCTCTCGCCACCAATGGGACTCAGTGGAGCTTCTCACCACCTAGAGCACCCCATTTTGGTGGCAAATGGGAAGCAGCAGTAAAATCAACGAAGCATCACCTCAAGAGAGTCCTGGGAACGACAACGCTAACATTTGAGGAACTCAACACAGTCTTAGTTCAGATTGAAGCCTGCCTAAACTCCAGGCCAATCTGTCCGATGTCAGACGACCCAGAAGATCTCCAGGTTCTCACCCCAGGACACTTCTTAATCGGCGAGCCTCTACAGATAGTACCAGAGTCATCCTACGTCGACGAGAATCCCCTCAAGATGAGGAGATGGAACCTCGTGACTCGGATAGTTCAACAGTTCTGGTCCAGGTGGTCCAAAGAGTGTCTCCAACGATACCAGGCTATCTACAAGTGGAAGACACGCCAGCAGAACATCGAGGTTGGTAACATGGTGCTGATGGTCGACGATAACCTTCCACCAGCCCAGTGGCCAATCGCCAGAGTCATCGCGACTAGACCAGGAGCAGATGGGCTCACCAGAGTAGCCACAGTCAGAACGAGCAAAGCAGAAGTCGGCAGACATCAAGATGGGTCGCCTAATCTCCAGAACATCACAGCAGCCCACTCGGTGTTTGACAGACCAATCACCAAGTCCTGTCTGCTTCCTACATACCCACCTACACCAGACCAACCTCCAGAAGAAGATCACCCAGATGATGAAGACGATCAACAGCAAGGAGACATCCAGGAACTGCAGGACTGAGAGTTAAGTATCATCTTCCATATGTTTTTTAATTTGGCAAGTGATACGTCTCTCACCCTGTTTTTCTCCCCTTAGCAAGCATCAGCAGAACCAGAATCAGCAGAACCAGACCAGCAGAAACTAGATCCAGTAATTCAACAACCTGATGTTGAATGCCCCCGGGGTGTGTGAAACGAAGTTAAAATTCAGTACATCAACGGTTGACCACAGATCGGCCACTTACGAAAATCTTCGGGAAACCTCGGGTCAACGGTCAGGCCTAGTCAATCACCGAATCTCAGAGTCAGTCAGTCGTAGAGAGTCGTAGCAAATGAGTTGAGCGAGCAGTATATCGTTTTTCTAAAGCTACTTTCGGTTGTCCGAACAGCGTCAGTACATCACCCGTTCGAGACATTTTGTTTTCTCAGTACATCTCCTATTTAAATTCTCAGTACAGTCTCCTATTATTCAGTATATTATTCAGAAAATCTCCAGTGTTAAATTCAGAACAGTTTGAATTAATTTCAGTGACAATTAACAGAGTGTAACAAGTGACGCTAAGGTGGTTCGATTCCACCGAATAAATCAGTATATTTTTTATAGACTCAGTGCGTTCGTTTTTTACCGGCATTTCCACTATCCCCTTCCCAATCCACCCTAAATTCAGTTTTCCCTCCAAACAGCAGCCTTGAAATAGTTACAATGTAATAATCCACTTTATGCCAATATTGAGTTACCTGAGTCAGCTCAAAATCTGATGAAGTGGTTAAACAATAAAGATGTTGAATATCATGTAGAATCAGACGGAGGCGGTACAGATGATGAACACGATATGAAAAATTCTAGCCCAACTGCTACAACAGATCAAGTAACAGATCTGATTAAAAAAGGTGGAGAAGAAACATCACCACTCAGTGAAATTTTCAATGAAAAGCAATCAATGAATGACGGAATAGGAAAAAAGGATAAAGTTGAAGCACCGCTATCGTGTGGTAATAATGAAAATCCTCCTCGACCATCTCCGATGGTTACTCAAATTTTTAATGATACCCAGCGATTCGAACAATACACAGTTTATCCTATGCACGATAAACGAGTGAATGACACTGCATGTAATTTATATCAGATGAAAAAAAGTTCGAGATGTACCATTAAATTACAACACCAAAAATTTGGACTTACTATGTTTCCCCGATTTATATCCATATGGCCGAAATGGACAAGGTGAAGAACGCAATACCTATATTATAGATCAGGAATATATCAAAATGAGACTTTGCTCCAAGATACCACGCTTTCGATTAAACCAACAGTATTTATTCTATTTGTTGAATAATACTAATATAAGACAAATCAACAGTGGTATTTATCATACTTTGCACGTGACAAATCCGCGTCAGAGATATACAGCTAATAGTTCCTTGCAACAAATTCGAAACGGGGGAGCAGAAGGAAATATGAACACGATTTTCGAACGTCTGCGGAACTCTGAACAATATTGGCGCAAACCACGGAACAATTTAAGGTGCATGGCTAGACATTATGGATTAGCTACGTGGTTCCTTACTGTCAGTCCTGCAGAATGGAATTGGAATTGGTATTTCGATAAATTAACTGATGGTGAAGTCATTGCAGCAGATCCCGTTTCTGTATCCAGATACCTGGACATTTCACGCTCTACTTAATTTTCTCCCATCAGATGACCATCCTATTGGTAAAATCATACACTGTTTCTGGCGAAGAGAGTACTNAAATTAACTGATGGTGAAGTCATTGCAGCAGATCCCGTTTCTGTATCCAGACTCCTGGACATGAAATTTCACGCTCTACTTGATTTTCTCCTATCAGATGACCATCCTATTGGTAAAATCATACACTATTTCTGGCGAAGAGAGTACCAAGGACGCGGGGCGCAACACTTTCATTTATTGATATGGGTGGAGGGAGCACCGATTGTTGGTATCAATTCTAATGATGAAGTGGCTGATTTCGGCATAAAGTATGCAACTTGCAGGACACTGGATAAAAATGTTTCCCCAACTCTTCACCGCCGCGTGACAACACATCAGAAGCATAAACATAACAGTTACTGCTGACGATCAAAAAAAGAGAAGTCTGACAAAATAACAAAGAAATGTCGATTTGGTTTTCCGCGTCCTGAAACAGATAAATTCATACTGCGCGATCCTGCCATTTCTATTGCTGGAAGGAAGAAATTAAAAACGAAATCTAGATTCTGCGATCTTCCTCGACATAAAGACGACATTTTTACTAATGATTACAATCCAGCAATTCTTGTTGCATGAGAAGGTAATATGGATATTCAATTCATTGGAGAAAGCTCATCACTTCTAACTCAGTACTGTACGAAGTATTCTACAAAATATGAAATATCTAAAACGTCTACTGTCATCGAGGAAGCGACATCTACGAAAACCGTGAGGCAGAAATTGTGGAATATAGGGATGCGTGCATTGCAATATCGTGAGCTCGGAGCTCTTGAAGCTGCTGATACTCTATTGGGAATTTCATTGTACAGTACTGATTCCAATACCACGATTAAATGGTTAGATGTCAGAATGGTCAGAAATCGGAAGGTCAAGAATTACGATGAAATTGAAAAATTGGACAAAGAATCGACTGATATATTTTGCCCCTCATTTATAAATGATCATTATCCCAATCGTCCCAAAAAACTTGAGGCATTATGTCTTTATGACTTTTGTAAATGGTATGATATCGTTCGACAAGAACCAAAAACTAAGGAGGTTGAATATTACACATTGAAACCTTCATTATTTTTGAAGAGACGTGATCAAGTTTATTTGATTAATCACTGGAGACACAATATTAACACTGAGCCGGAGAAGCATTTGTTCGCCTTATTATTACTATTCAAACCATGGAGGGACAAAGATGAACTACGAGCTGGTTTTCTGTCATATACCGGGGCTTTTGAGAATGAGAAAGAATTCCTCGCCAGAGCGTGTGAGTATCATAATGAAACAGAGGTTTTCCAAAGAGGATTAGATTATATTTCGGAACAAATCCGTGTTGAACTCGAGAAACCCGAAAGTGGGGTGCCTCAGTCTCCTGGAATCCAAGTCGGTTGTGATCCAAAAGGAGGCAAAATGGCTATGAAAGAATTCAATGATATGGAGGAGAAAGTCGGAAGAAGTGTACATTTGGCTGCTATGATAACACAAATAAATGTCGACGAAAAGAGAATATTTGATGTTGTGAAAAATGTAATATCTTCCCAGACTGAAATTTTGCGACTCTATGTTAGCGGTGAAGGTGGAACAGGAAAAAGCTTCCTAATTGAAGTAATAAGAACTTGGATTAGTAAGGAAATGGATCGGAAAATAGCAGTTACAGCTCCTATAGGTATTGCAGCGTTCAATATCGATGGTTTGACAATTCACAAATATTTCCACCTTCCGATTGAGCATGATGATACTCCAAAATATAGGCAGTTATCAGATAATTTGTTGAAACTCATGCGTGATGAAATGCGGGACGTTGAATTAATCATTATTGATGAAATATCAATGGTTTCCAACACCACTCTGCTATATATTGTTACGTACCCTGTCCGTGGGTCATACGACGTACGCAACTGTTTCAATTTTGTTTTTCTTTATATTCTTTCAACCGAAGAATATTCCCATATGTTACCTCAAATTATTTATCGCTACAGTATCGTTAATGTCAGAATGTGATATGACAAATGTGAAGAGTTAATTAAACTCCGTTTATCAAGAGCATCACTATAAGTGGCCTAATAGAGAGTTAAAAGGGTGATTCATACTAATGAGTTTGAGCACTTTAGGATTGATACGAAGACTATGGACAACTGTCGCCAGGTAAAAAAACCAGGAGGAACAGCCAAGTTGGCGCGCGCCTATTCCAACTGCTTGGAAAAACCTGACATCTGATCCTGTGGATAACTTGCGGCTAGGCCATAAACATAAGATAACCATCAACAGAAATTTGACCATAATGGGCTTTTGCACTTAAATTAATAGCCAGGCTAGTGTTGTGGTAACTATTCCCATGGAAACGTGGAAAAGCCGAAAACCCACCCAAAAGGGCTACCGGTGACATAGAAGTGGAAATTGGGGCGGAGTTGTGACCAATCATCGAATTGTCTAGTCAAATCGGACAATTAAGAAGCTTTTGGTTGGATGCGCAGGCCTAATTAAGACAGGAGGCAGGACTCATAAGACAGCCCAAAACCTCAGGTTTTTACTATAAAAATGGCTGCAGGAGCCAGGGAGAGTTAGTTCGAAGCCGAGAACTCAGAACCTGGAGGTCCTAATTATCATGAGTGTCTTAAAACCACCCAGTACAAAGTTCTGCTCCCCAATTAACTTCAACTGAACGAGTCAACTACAAGAATCTCTGAGGCCAGAGTCGATAGCATCCGCTATCCCACCACCAATTCAGCGAGGACGACCAACTCCTAGGCCCTCTCCGGCCCTGTTGAGTGACTCGATTATCGACCGCCCACTCGCCACCCACCGAAGGTCATCACGCAGAGCCAAGCTGAGTCACGCGATTCAACTGAACCCCCGCTGAGCGTTAACTGAGCAATCCCTGTCCAACCCTTCCACCAACTGTAAGTGTCTATGTCCACAATTATCCAACTCATTTATTTCTCTCTTTTCCTGTTTTCCCTCCGACGGTTTTTACCCTGGGTTTTCGTGAAATTACTCCAATTACGAAATAAATAGTGCAATCGGTATAATTTGGTCAGTGTTTTCCTTTACGCGGAATATCGTTGTTGTATTTTAATACTTAATCCCGAACATCACGGTCCCACCCTAGATTTCACAAAAGAAGGTAATTATAACATCGTTAACCTCATCATCATCGAGACGACCAGTTCGTGACCAGTGACGGTCAGGTAAGAGCTGACAGGTAGATTTTCTCTCCCTCTCATTCCAATCTAAACCCGGTTGTCCGTAACAAAATTTTGGCGCCCGAACAGGGACACGATGTTTTAAAAAAAAAGGGAC